TGCCCAGCCCTGTAGCCTGTTTTGAAACTCTGTTTTATTATTATTTTTTCTCTTTAAAATATTATATACCTGAAATTGACTAAGAGAATTTTTTTTTTTTTTGGTTTTTCTCTGGTACCGGGAACCGAACTCACAACCTTGCGCTTGCCAGGCAGGCGCTTTTGCCGCTGAGCTAAATCCCCAGCCCCCCAGAGAATATTTTAATTATTCTCACTACAAACATATAAGTGCATAATACAATCAAATATTTGCAATCAAAATATTTTGTGTATCATAAGTATATGCAGTTATAAATCTGTCCATTAAAATCAAAATTCCTTTAAAAAGTCCTAAAAAGAATTCCATTATCAGAAGGAAAAAAATTTTTTCTTTGGTCTTGCTAGTTCAGGCTGGCTTTGAACTCACTACGTAGCCCAGGCTGACCTCTCACTCTCAGCAGTCCTCCTGCCTCAGCCTCCTCAGTGATGGGATTACAGTCGTGCCCCACCATGCCTGGCTTCTGAAGAGAGTTTTAAACATGTTGTATTTCCATCCTTTCCTTTTCTCTTTGCATGTATCATCATATAGGCACACTTTTAGACACTGATTGTTCTGAAGACGTAGTTTCATGGACCCTGTTTTTTCTTTCCACTGAGCAATTTTTCACATCATTAAGTAGCCTTTTAATGATGTGATTTCTCGGTCCTGCCAGGCCACCGACAGCTGTGCCTTCTAATTTATTTCACGTCAGCTCCTTAGGTTATTTCCAGGTTTCTGACATCAGAAACGGCACTGGGAGGCAACACTGGGCCTCAGCTGTTGCACACGCTGCCGGCGACTCCTTTAAGACAGACATGCACGAGCCTGAGACCGAGCAGGGACGCCTCTGCAGGCTTGTCCTCACTCACGGCCAAACCCGAGCACAAGTGTGGGAGCGATGACGGGCTGAGGAAGGTTTCTACCATGCGACAAAACTCAAAACCATACAATGAGCTCATAAAAACAACCAGGGAGCTGGCCATGTGGCGCATGATTATAATCCTAGCACTCAGGAGGCCGAGGCAGGAGGATTGAGAGTTCAAGGCTAGCCCTGGCTGGAACTGCAGCTCAGTGGTAAAGCTTGCCTAGCATATTCCACCTCCAGCACCGGGAGAAACAAAACAGTCAAAAACAGCTGGGCGTGGTGGCACACACCTGTAATGCCAGCACTCGGGAGGCTGAGGCAGGAGGATTGCTGCGAGTTCGAGACCAGCCTGGGCTACAAAGTGAGCTCAAGGCCAGTTTGAACTGCATAGTAAGACCCTGTCTCAAAAAAGACAAAAAAAACCAAAACCTCCCCCAAAAAACAAAAACCAAAAAACAGTCAGAGATAGAGCAGAAGAAATAAAGAATGAAAATAGTTGCTGGACTTGATGGTGGGATTCTAGGTCACTTCTGTTTTATTTTTGGTGGTGGTGCTGGGGACTGAACCCAGTTATCCAGTCTGGGGTCACTATGGTAATTCTCTTTCTTTTTTTTTTTCTTTTTTTTGGTACTGGGAATCGAACTCAGGACCTTGTGCTTGCCAGGCAGGCGCTTGTGCTGCTGAGCTAGATCCCCAGCCCTAGTAATTCTCTTTCTACAACCTCCCAGAGTGCTGGGATCGCAGGTGCGTACCATCAAGCCCTGGCTCCCAAATTCCTGTTTAATTTTATTTTAATATAGTGTCTCTGTAAGGTGGCCATGTCAGCCTCAAAACTGTGATCCTCCTGTCTAAGCCTCGCAAGGAGCCAGGATTACAGGTATGCAGCACTGTGTCCAGCTGTAGGTCACATATGAAGAAACATTTGTTGAAAATATATGCATTTTAAAACTACTTTAAATGTCAGCCATGTTTTCCTGCAAAGATATAGTAAATATCTCAGGCTTTGTAGGCCACAAAACTTCTGTTCCACAGTCTCTTGTTCAGTTTTTGGTTTTGTTGTTTTTGTTTTTTGAGACGGGCTCTTGCTGTGTATTCCAGCCTGGAACTTGCAGTGATCCTCCTGCCTCAGCCTCATTTTTTTTTTTTTTTCCTTCAGCCTCTTGAGTGCTGGGTTCACAGGTCATATAAACAGACCATATGCTGGATTTGGCCATGGGTGCTGTGTGCTAACCCTGGGCCGTTTACTTACCTTGGCTCGAGACTTCGAAGTGTGCAGGTGGCTCACTGGGCAGGGTGGTGGGAGTCGGGGTGGTAGTGGTGGTAGTCGGGACAGAGCTGGTGGTGCCAGGGCCCAGGTTGGCACTCTCTGAAGCCTTGGGCGCAGCCTCACCCTGTTTGGTGGAGTTGGGCTCGGGGTACCTGCTCTCCGCCTTGAGTGGCAGCTGCTCCAGCCATGAAGCGCCTTTGAGGGCGTTGTCTGCACAGAGAGGACATGGTGGGGAGGGCAAGTAGGGCTTAGGGTCACCGCCCCACCCCCATCTCCTGCCCAGCCCTGGCTGGGTGATTTTTTTTGGAGGGGGCAGTATTAGGGTTGAACTCACCTCTACCACTAAGCTATATTCCCCAGCCCCTGTTTAAAATTTTGTTATTTGTCATATATTTGCAGTACTGGGGATTGACCCTAGGGCCTTTGCACTGAGCTACACCCCAGCCCTTTTTACTTTTTTATTTTGGAACAAGAGTTTCTCTACATCGCTAAGTTGACCAGGCTATGCTCCAGTTTGTAATTGTCCTGCCTCAGCCTCCCAGCTGTGTGCTCAGGTTACAGGCGTGTGCGGCCACACCCAGCTTTCATTTTTATTTTGAGACAGAATCTCACTACACTGCCTGGGCTGGCTTTGAATTTCAGGTTCTCTTGCCTCAGCCTCCCGAGGTGCTGGGATCACAGGAGTGCACCACCTCCCAGCATCGCTGGTGATTTTTATGGGTGCGTTTCCCGGCCTGAGTGGGCCGCAGCTTCCACCTGACTTGAGTGTCCTGAGGCCACCGTCAGGCTCCTGCGTGACTACGGGAAGACACATATAAAACATCTGCACAGACCCCGGCCAACCCATGGTGCCGAATTCGAAGTCCCTCTCTTTCCCTGCCATGGAGCAATTCCTGCCTGTTTTTTCCTGTTTCAGATGCAATTTCAGGGGGCAGAGACCCCAGCTTCCGGTCGCAGTCCACCTCCCGAACCCTGCTCAGTGTCCAGGCAGGAAGGGGCAGGTGCAGCCAGCTCCTTGGCTCCTCAGGACCCCAGAGAACACTGTCCTCCTCCGTCTCCTTGCTCTCTGTCTCCCAGCTGCCCAGCTGCGCTGGCTGGGGCTGTGCTGGGGACAGGGACCATCTCTGGGTCATCCCTGCCCCGCCCACGTCCCTGCGCTGGGACATGCGGGACCTTGGTAGCTGAAGCAGGAGGACTTGCTGCCCCATGGCCAGGGATACAAGCGGCTCAGCTCCGGGGACGGATCTGTAGCCTGAGGACTTGGTTCCATTCCCACTCTGCCACCACCTTGCTGTCAAACCTGACACCTCTGCCGTGCCATGCCGTGTCCCCCATCTGTTCTGTGCCTGCCCGATGCCAGGGTACATGCCATAGCATACGAGAAAGTGCTCAGAGAACCCTAACGTCGGGGGCAAAGCAATGGTGCTGCTGTTACCAGGACGGCTCTCAGGGGCTGCCTGGTCGGCCAGGGACAGAGAGCCCTTGGCTTGAGGACGATGACGTGACTTCTTCCTTCCTTCTCTCTTTGCCCTGTGGAGCTGCCCCTCCGCCCCCCGGCCACCCCCACAGCACGGGCTGAATCCTTCTGGTCAGACACAGCCGCGGGGGGCTGGTGGCCTCGGCAGCCTGCCAGGGCAGGGCCTTGTTCCCACATGCCTTGCTGGCGGAGCCGGATGCCCCCAGCTGTTCCCAGGCAGTGGCCCAGCTAGAGGTCAGAGGCCCTGTGTGGTGGCCAGGCTGAGCTGACAGGGCTCAAGGACAGCAGCTGGCACCAGGGGCTGTGGGAAGAGGCCCCTGAGCCCAGACAGGCTGAAAAATGAGGGGCTCTTGAAGGAACCAGGACCCTGATTGTCCCAGCCCTGCCCCTTGGGCCTGTCCCTACGGAGGCCTTGCTGGACCAGTGCTCAGCAGGACTCAGGATGGGTAGTGGGTTTGGGACACCCCGCACGGGATAACAGGTGCCTGGGGAGGGTCTAGGTGAAGGGAGCAGGAGCCACACCAGTGAGGATGGCTCTGAAATTTGGGGACTTTTTGGGTGTGGTGCTGTACTCAGGAGGCTGAGGCAGAAGGATTGCCATGAGTTTGAGGCCAGCCTGGGCTACAGAGTGAGTTCAAAGCTAGCCTGGACTGCATAGCGAGACCCTATCTCAAAAACGAAAAAAGGAAAGAAAGAAAAAAAAGAAAACCCAGTGACAGTGAAGACAGTTTTAAGTGTTTTTTTTTTTTTGTACTGGGAATCGAACTCAGGACCTTGAGCTTGCCAGGCAGGCGTTGTGCCGCTAAGCTATATCCCCAGCCGAAGACAGTTTTACGTAACAGAAAGACGCTCACTGTCTCTGGTGATGGTTTTGTGATTCTGTCTCCAACGGCCCCAGAAGCGGTATTATGCCGTGTGTGGCTGAGGAAAAGGCACCCAACCAGCGCGAAGAGCTCTGTGAGGGCGCCTGACTGCAGAGAAGACTGCACCCCTGGTGGTGACTGCCCCACGGCCAGGGTCCCCAGGCCCCGCACTCACCTGCCGCGGCTGCAGGCGCCTCCCGCCGGCCCGCCTTGTAGTAGGTGAAGCCCCGGATCAGCGCCTGCTGCTGCGCCAGGGAGCGGGGCCTGGGAGTGGGCGGGGGCAGCCGGCCCTTGGCACCCTCCTTCCTCAGCTTCTCCACTGTCAGCAGCTTCTCCTTGGGCGATCTGGGGAGGCCTCTGTCCGCAAGGCTGCTCTGCACACTGCTGTGTTTGTTGGCCTCCTTGGCTTTCCCGCCAGCCGTGTCCTGGGCGAGGGGGGAGGTCTCAGATTTGGGAGACAGGAGAAAGAGCATTGTGGGGGCCCTGGAAGGTGGCGTGGTGCCCAGGAATACACAAAGTCAGGCTTTCCTTACCTCCACAGTGGCTACCTCCATGCCTTGTGTGCCTCAGTTTCCCCACACAGCTCTGGAGCTCCATGGCAGGCTTGAGACTCAACCTGATAGTCTGGATTTCCCCGGGGATAGACAGGACCGGTGACTCCCAGAGGAGCTGTCCTTCCCTGCCTGTCGGCTCCCCAGCCTGGCCTTTCTCACTCGTCTTAGTAGGTGACTCCATGAGGGACTCTTGGTCCCAGTGCAGGGAGGCCAACTCATCCCACGGTGTCGGTGTCAGTTTCAATCCTGAAAGTTCTGCTTCCTGGGAAACCATTCCCAGCCAGTCACCCTGGCCCTAGGACACTCTGGTTCTGATTTTATTTTTTTTTTGAGATAGGGTCTTGCGCTATAGTTCAGGCTGGCCTTTTTTTTTTTTTTTTTTGGTCTTTTTGAGACAGGGTCTTGCTATGCAGTTCAGGCTGGCCTTGAATTTGCAATGATCCTCCTGCCTCAGCCTCCCAAGTGCTGGGATTACAGGCATGCGCCACCACGCCCGGCCAGGCTGGCCTTGCATTCACTATGGAGACTAGGTTGGTCTCAAATTTGTGGTGATCCTCCTGCCTCAGCCTCCCGAGTGCTGGGATTACAGGTGTGCAACAGCACACCCAGCGGTTTCTAACGTCTTGTGAGTTGTGTTATTTTCCCTTCCTATTCAGAGGGCTCCAATTCTGGCTTGGCACGAGAACAAAGGGCAGAAGGCCCAGCAGACAGCGCTGTACAGACACTGCCAAAGCGGGACTCATTCGCACCTGCACACTTAGCACCGGACTGAGCAGGAAGCCAGCTCAGGCCAAGGCACAGGCTTCCTCTGCACTCTCCTGGCACAGGCAGCCTGCAGTGCGGTGCTGCCGCAGGAGGCAGCGGTAGTGAGGAAGGGCTGGCTCTGCAGCCTGGCCCGCAGCCCCTGCTCCGCACGGCCTCTGCGTGCCTCCCTCTGCCAAGCGGGCAGGGCCGGCCCTCCTCGCAGGGCACTGTGGGAATAACTGATAAGCCTGCCAGCAGGAACCCTACAGAGGTCACTTTCTTCCTTCTTCCACTCACCCAAACACAAGGCCGGCGGGCCGTGTCCTGCCCACGGGGCACGCACAGGCTTGAAACCCATCTCCACTCGCTTTGCCAAGTCACACCCTGGCACACGGCCCTCTGAGGAAGGGGCTTCTGTACAATTTGTCCACCCAAATGTGGCCCGTTTCCCACTGACCTCCCTGGCAGGGGCCATGTTTGCATTTTGCCGCAGGCGGGACCTGTCCCGAGTCTGTACAGATGGTCACCTGTCCCAGGGCTCTGCCGCTGGGAGCCCTGAGCCTGGAGGCAGGGATGGACGTTAGTCTGCAGGGGTCTCCAGCAGGTATGACCCAGCCAGGGGGCCCCACCACAGCAGGGGAGTGGCCTTGGTTCCCCGACCAGCCAGAGACCTGGGTAACAAGTCCTGTCCCCACCTGCCCGCCCTCAGCTCTGTCCTCTAGCCCCGAACCCACTGCATGCTGGCCTTGAGGCCGAGTCCTTGGCACCCTGCGTCCCTGGCCCTGCCACCTGGTGCTGTGACGGGAGCGAGGGTCTCACCTGGGCCTTGTGGCCAGGGCCTGGGGCCGGGGTGGCGGCAGTGGCGGCCGCGTCCCTCTGCAGCAGCTGCAGGCCCAGGCCAGACAGCTCCTTCTGCAGCCGCAGCACCACGGCTGAGCGGTTCTCGTAGCTCCGGAGCTGTTCGCTGAGGTGGCGCACGCTCTCCTTCACCACCTCGTTCTCCCGGCTCAGGTTGGCCTTCACACTCTGTGGGGCGGGACTCTAGGTCACTCTTTGCTCTGCTTCCTCGGGACCCCCGCAAGACGGACACCCCAGCTTGGCCAGCAGGTCTATGCCCATGTCCTGAGCACGGCTGCAGGGTATGGGCTGGGGTGGCCCCAGCGAACAGGAGTGAAACAAGCATGTGCCATGAGATCCTGTAGTTGTTGATTTTTTTTTGACACAGGGTCTCACTATGTAGTTCAGGCTGGCCCTGACCTCACAGCGATCCTCCTGCCTCAGCCTTCCTGCTCAAGTCTTGACAAGCCAAAGTGTCTCCAGATATTGCCAGCTGGAGGGGGTACAACCTCACCCATGGCTGAGAACCACGGGTGGAAGAGAAGACAGGAAAGGAAGGTGGGATCTTAAACCTCTGCCTGACTCCAGCGTTGGGGGTTCCATGGGCAAAAGGCACCATCTCTTCTGGAAAGACTGTTCTCGCTCCTCCTGCCAGGTTAGCAAGCAGCTTTCCCCCCAGGGGGTTACGGCTTAGCAAGCTGAGGTTAACAGAAACAGCACAGATAATGCAAAAGCGGACAATCAGACAAGCGTTTTTCTGTGCTGTGGAAATCATTTCCGGTTTGTCCCACGCTTGGCAGACACATCTTCCAGATCGTCCGGCCCAGAGCTGCACGGAGCAAGATTACAAGAGGGAAGGTCAGAGGAAGACAGTGGCAGAGCCAGCAATGGATTGGCCGGCAGCGCCACTGCACAGGAAAAGAAATCCCACAACCGTCAGCTTCCCCCAGGCTGGCAGAATAATCAGAGCCCACTCTGACCCCAGCTTTGGGATTAGGAAGAGGTTAATCTTCTGCGTTGGTGCACAGGATGCCCAGGTGCCCCCGCTCTGTAAAGGAAGCCGGGAAAGGAAGCCCCACGCCTGGGCCTGGCAGCTGCAGGTCCCAAACCCCCAGCAGTGTGGCAGAGGCCGGAAGCAGGAAATGGGTGGAGATGTAAGCCTTGAACCTGCGGCGGGGACCTGCAGCTCACGCGCTGTCCCTGTGCCCGGGGGCAATGCTGGGCCTTTGCCCAGCCCTAGAGCACATCAACCCTGAGCAGGATGCCACATTCAGCTGCTTTGCTTCCCTGCAGGTGCTACTGGGACAGACAGTGGGGCTGCTCCCAACCTCGGTCCTGGTAAACTTGGCAAGTCCTGTCATGTCGCACCGGTGCCGGAGATACCACTGGCTTGGTATCTTCTGTTTTATTGTTTTATTTTGCTTTTTTGAGACAGGGTCTCACTGTGTAGCCCAGGCTGGCCTCCAGCTCACAGCGATCCTCCTGCCTCAGCCTCTGGAGTACTGGGATTATAGACATGCGCCACCATGCCGGGCTCAAGGTATCTTCTATGAACAGTGCCCAGAGCCATGTATGTGACCCTGATCTTGGCACACTGAGGACAACCATGAGCTCCCGCCACTTGTGCATCCCTTTCATACAACCAGCAAGTGCCTCAGTTTCCCCACCCAGCCACCCAGGTTCCTGCAGCCCCAGAAGCCCATCGGATCTCTTTGCTAAAGGCTGGACCCTGAGTCCTTCACTGGCCTCCCCTACCCCCTGCCAGAGCCCAGCTTCCAAAGGCCACCAGTGTCACTGCAGAACTGCCCCAGCCCCTGGGATGCTGTCCAGGGAGCCCCGCCTTACCTCCTCCAGTGTGCTCATCTGGGAGGCCACCTTGTGGATGTACGCGTGCACTTTCATCAGGTCCACGCTGTACAGGGCGCCTTCCAGGAGGTCCACCATGGACTGCAGCTGCGGGGAGAGGAAGCTTAGGCGAGGAAGTGGCCAGGGCAGTGGAGCTGCCGAAGGAGCCCGGAGTCCAGCGCGCCAGACCTCAGAGGGGCTGGCCGGGCCCTCGGCACTCAGCAGCCCCAGCCTGCTCGTAACCACCAGAAAAGCAGCAGACCCTATCTCTGGAGAACCTGCCACGTGCCAGGTGCCGCAGTCAGTGCCTTAGTAAGTTACAGCGCTTCATCCCCATAACAGCTCCACGAGGGCTGCAGAGGCTCCTTTCCATCTGCTGGGACCCTTCCTCCTGCTTCCTGTGCCCAGCCCTGGCTTCCACACGGTTTTATCTGTTTTCTTGTTTGTTTTTGGTGCTGTGGACAGAACCCCGGGGCTCACACAGGCTAGGTAAGTGCTCTACCACGGAGCTATACCCCAAGTCCCATGGGCCTCCTTTTGCATTTGTTTTTGTTTTCTTTTTGAGATGGGGGTCTCATTATGTAGTTTAGGCTGCTCCCGAACTCACTATGTAGCCCAGGCTGGCCCTGAACTCGAAGCAATCCTCCTGCCTCAGCCTCCCAAGTGCTGGAATTACAGGTGTGCATTATCACATCCAGCTCTACAATTTATTTTTTATAGATACATCATCACTGTATATATTTATCTGGTACCACATGACATTTCAGTACATGTACCTACTGTGTAATGACCAGATCAGGGAACAGATCGCCACCATCAGTTAGAATTTCTTTGAGTTCAGAACACTCAAAATCTTTTCTATTGGCTATTCTGAAATATATAACTGCTGGTGTGGTGGTGGTACACACCTTTAATCTCAGCACTCAGGAGGTTGAGGCAGGAGGATCACCATGAGTTTGAGGCTAGCCTGAATGACATATCAAGTCCCTGTTTTAAAAAACAAACAACTGCCGTCAGCCATGGCTACCCAGTGTGCTACAGAACACGAGACATTATTCCTCCTACTAACCTTAATCTGTACTGCTAACAATCCTCCCTCTCTCTTGGGCTCCCTTTTAAGGACTTGTGTCTGTGATTCTCTTTATTTATTTATTTAATTTTTTTTGGTGCCGGGAATTGAACTCAGGACCTTGCACTTGCCAGGCAGGCACTTGTGCCGCTGAGCTATATCCCTGGCTCTGTGATTCTCTTAGAGTCACCTGCCCCCTCAAGTACCAGGCTGTGTGCACCCCCTGTAGGCAGCCCTGAGGCACAGTTGGCTGGTGTGGGCAATGGAAAGTCTGCTCCCTTGTTGGGCGTGGTGATGCACACCTGTAGTCCCTACACTCAGGAGGCTGAGGCAGGAGGATCGCTTAGAGTTTGAAGCAGCCTGGGCTACACAGTGAGCTCAAGGCCAGCCAGACAGTGAGACCCTTCCTCAAAAACCAAAACAAGCCCAGCTTCCTGGCCAGTGGGACAGGCCACCCCACTCCAAAGCTCCCTCGGGACAGGGATGGCTGAAGTTCCACCACCCTTCCTGGCCTCCTCCTCTCACTCCCTCAGGCTCCTCTGGGAAGCCCTGGTATCACCTTCCACCAGCTCCTGGGCGTGCTTCTAGTGACCCAAGCTGAGCCTAAGCTTTGATCCTCATGTTATAGTGGGGTAGGTGCAGCTCGGAGGTGAAACATGTACCCAGAGCCCCCTGGCTGCTAGAGAGCGGAGCCAGGAGCAGAGTGGAGATCAGTGTAAACCCAGACCTCTTTCCTGGCCCGCCTCACTGCACTTGTCTTGTGTCTGGTAGGGAAATGGAGGCTGGGGCTGGGGCTGCACACCAGGTCTGCATTGGCCGGAGCGGGCGCCTGGCCTTCCTGTCCAGCCCAGGGCTCTGCCCTGCAGCTGCCACCTCCCCTCCCTGTCACACCTCGTCAGGATGTGACACTCCCTCCAGATGGCCAGGATGCCAGGCGGTGTCAGGGAAACCTTGGCACCGGAGGCCGGTTGGGAAATCGGCCCCGCCCACTTCAGGGGAAGGCGGCGCCTGCGGCCTTGGGAGTCTGCAGCTGCGCTCCTGGCCAGCGGGTCCCAGCGGCTCAGTCCCAGGGGCTCGCGTGCTGCTCTAGACGAGCTTTCTTTCCTCCGAGGGAACTGGATCTGTTTCTAAAACCAGAGGGGGCGGAAGGCGCTACAGAGGCAGGGATGGTCCAGAGTCTGCCCTGCGCCCCTACGAACTCGCCCCAGGGCTGCGGAAAGGAAGGGGGTGTCAGGACAGAGCTAGCTGAAGAGCACCCAGAAAGGGCTTTGGAGAGACAGCAGTGAGAGCTGCTCCAGGGGCTCACAAGAAGCGCCCCACTTCGCCCTGCTGCCTCCAAGGCCACTGAAACCACTCTGAGCTAGGTGTGGTGGCGCACGCCCGTAATCCCAGCACTCAGGAGGCTGACGCAGGAGGATGAGGACCAGCCTGGACTACACAGCAAGATTCTGTCTCAAGAAAAAAAAATTTTCATCCCATGATAACATGGGAGTAGCTTTTCTTGCTGGGGATCAATTGCAAGGCCTAGTGTACGCTAGGCAAGCACTCTACCACTAAGCTACATTCCCGGGGCACCTTTCAAAATTTTTTTTATTTTATCGGTACATTTTAGATATTCATAATGATCATATTCATCATAGGAAATTTGTACCTGTGCATCTTGCTTCTTCTTTTTTTCCCATTCCCCTACCCTCTCTTCAACCTTTTTTCCTTTGCTTATTTACAATTTATAGCACAGAACTCTGGGTTGAAATCTCAGTACTGCCAGTTTCCTGCTGTGTGACTTTCAGCAAGTCACAATCCCTCTCTGTGCTTCCAGTTCCCTCCCAAGGTGTGGTAGCATGGATTAACTCAGCCAGCGTTCATGGAAAGGGCTCTGTGTGTCCTCCTGCGAAGCTGCCTTGTAGTTCAGTTACTAGGATGTGACTCGAGCAGAAACTGGGTTTGTCCCTGTCCCTGATGACTGGTTGTGGCCTGGGTGCCTGGAGTTGGCCAGGCAGGGCCCAGGGGGACCACAGGGAGATGGTATGGTTCAGGGTCACCAGGCTGTCAGGAGGCCACTGGGCCTAAACCTCACTTCCCTCTCCAAGGTTGCGCATGTTGGAGTCATCCATGTAGCTGTTACAAAAAGAAAACTAAAGGTAAACCTCATACAAATGTCTTTTGCCAAAAGCTGAGTAACAACTTCTCAGGGGCCTCCTGCTCTCCCGCATGGGCTGTGCATGTGACAGTAGACTCTTGTTCTGAGCCATCTGGGTGTCTCGGAGCAGCCTTCGAAATGCTAAAAAATCCAGACCCTCAAAGCCCAGGGCTCCTCCCTGTCCGCAACACACCCACGGCATGTGCAGTGCTTACCGGGCGTCACTCACTGCCCCATGGGAACTAGAGCTCAGAAAACAGAGGCAAAAAAACAGATTTGCCTAGGCGTGGAGGTACATGTCTAATCCCAGCAATCAGGAGGCTGAGGCAGGAGGATTGCTGTGAGCTGGAGGCCAGCCTGGGCTGTAACGTGAGACCCTGTCTCAAAAAACAAAAACAAGCAAACAAAAACTAGATTTGTAGTGAGTAAGAAACTCCTGTGCCTTGGTTCCAGCAGGCTTGTGTCTTCTGCCAGCACCTATGCAACTGTTAGACTAATGTGTCAGCTTGCAAGTAGGGCAATATCTCAAACCTTTCAGGGTTTGACACCAAACAAGCAAAATAGACATGTTTGGGAGAAATTGTAAAAGAAAAAAAAAATACTTTCAAAAGACACTAATTGGAACTAGGTGTGGAGGTGCATGCCTGTAATGCCAGCACTGTGGGAGGCTGAGGCGGGAAGACTGCCAAGTTCACGGTCACCCTGGCAATTTAGGGACTTAGACTGTCTCAAAATAAAGAACAAAAAAGATGGTGGATATAGCTAAGTGCAAAGGCCTTGGGTTCTATATCATGCTGAAAAAAAAAAAAATCAGTCTTGTCTTTTCCAGGAAGGAAGACAGATGAGCAAGCTGTTGAGACACATTTCAGACACAGCAGGGCCTGCTGCAACTCCTGCCTCCACCAGATTCTGATGCGCCCTGGCCAGCAAGATCTGAACAGCACAGAAGCCCCTGGCTGTCCCCAAGTGCTGAGTGCTGGCCTATGGGCCCAAGTAAGAACACGGGTCCTGGGGCGCGCTCAGCCCGGGCTTGGTCCTCATGAGCGGTACCTTCTTGTAATCTGCTTATTTGGGTAGATGATTCAGATTCACACAAAAGTAGAACACTGAGTCAAGCTTGGTGGCACTTGCCTATAATCCCAGCACTCAGGGGGCTGAGACAGGAGGATGGTAGTGAGTTGGGGCCAGCCTGGGCTACATAGTGAGTGCAAAGCAAGCCTGGTCTACATAGTGAAACCCTGTCTCAAAACAAACAAACAAAGAAACAAACAGGGCTGGGGATACAGCTCAGTGACATAAGCGCCTGCCTGGCAAGCCTAAGGTCGTGAGTTTGATTCCCGTTACCAAAAAAAAAGAAACAAACAAACAGGCTTAGTATCTATTCTTAGACATGCTTGGGTATTTAGGATTTAGGAGTTTTTCAGATTTTGGAATAGCTGCACATAGATAATGAGATATCTTGGGGAACGGACTGAAGTAAATAAGTAATTCATATATGCTTCATATTCCTTTTATACACACAGCTGAGGGCACAGGGATATAGCCAGGGGCACAGCGCCTGCCTGGCAAGCAAGAGGCCCTGAATTCGATTCCTGATACCAAAAAAAAATTCACCTATACACAGAGCTGAAGGCAATTTTATACAATATTTTAAACAACTTTGCGCGTGAAGTTTATGGTGTGGAATTTTCCACTGGTGGTATCCTGTTGGCGCCTAAGAAGTTTCCAGTTTTCAGGTCAGGGGTCGATGTTCAACCTGTGCAGACGCGAGGCTGCCTGTAGCTCCAGTGTTAGGGCAAGTTACCTAAACTCTCCGAACCACAGCGCTGCTGCTATGAATGAGGATGAAGAGCCCCGATTTCTCAACGCTTAAAGGATTCAGAGAAACAATGTATGAAAGAGTTTAGCACAGCACCTGGCCCCAGAATGTACCTGAGGACAGGGAATGTTAGTATTACATTAAAAACAATAAAAGGGCTGGGTTTGGTAATGGTAGCTACTCCAGAGGCTGAGGCAGGAGGATCTTAAGTTTGAGAGGAACCTGGGCAACTTAGTGAGACCCTGGGGAAGTAGCTCAGTGGTAGAGCACTCCTGGGTTCCATAAGAGGAGGAGGAGGAGGCGGGGAGGAGGAAGAGAAGAAGAGGAGGAGGACCTGGAGAGGGAGGAAAGAATAAAATTGAAAGTGCAGACAGGTGCTGACAGATGAGCTGGTTTGGGTAAAACCCAGGAGAGGCTTTACTTCGGGATGCGTGCCAGGAATCCGTCTCCACTTGCTGGCTGCAACCCTGGGCCAGAAGTGGCTTCCCCTTCCCCTGTGAGTCTGTTTCCTGGCCCGTGCGCCTACCCTAACGGCGCGCGGGGACTCAGTCCCCAGAGGCCAGCCTGGAGTCCCTCCCGCTTACCTTGAGGAGCTCGGGCGCTTGCTTCCTGAGCTTCTCCATCTTCCACTCGCGCTCGCAGGGGTTGAGCGAGGCAGGCGGCGCCGTGCAGGAGCAGCGGCAGTCGCTGCCCGCGCTCACCGTCTCCACAGCGGCGTAGGCGTCCTCGGCCTTCGCGCGCCCGCTGCGCACCCGGCTGCAGGCGTCCTTGCTCAGCGGCCGAAGGATGCACTTGCAGCGGCAGTCGGAGCCCTCGGAGGTCATGCGCACCTGCTCCGCGTCGCCAAACACCTGTGGGCAAGTGGGCTGCCATTAAAAGAGGCGGCTGATCCAGCCTGGGACGTATAGTTGGCGGTGATGGAGGAGGGAGCTGCCCTTACGGGTAAATAGTGGCCTTATAACGCTAACAAGAAGCCCAACCAGGTGGCCCACAGCAATAATCCTAGCACCTGGGAAGCTGAGGCAGGGGGATCCCAAAAAATTCAATTCGAGGACAGCTTGGGCTACATGATGAGTTCAAGGCCAGCCTGAACTACATAGCGAGACCCTGTCTCAAACACAAAACAAAACCCAAAACCCAAATCAAAGAAAAACCCACAAGCCATGAAATGATAATTTCAAATGTTACATATGTTTTTCCACAATAATAAAACATATGGCACGAATGGAGACCTTAACTGAGCATGTACTATATTCCAGGTTAAACATGCATTATGTCCTTTAATAATAACTGTGTGTGGGGGATAAGCGTACTGTTACCTCCAAAGTCATTACCACTGTCTTCAGCACCTACCTGACCTACTGTTCTCCTGAGGGCTCTTCCTTCATAATGCACTCAGCTAAAGTCCTGGTCCCCTAACCTTCCCAGGGTTCATCCCATCCTGTCACTTAGTTCTCAAGACCACAGTTTGGATGCAGAAGTTCTTTTTTTTTGGTACCAGGAATCAAACTCAGGACCTTGTGCTTGCCAGGCAGGCACTTGTGCCACTGAGCTATATCCTGGCCCTGGATGCAGAAGTTCTGGATCCAGACAGCAGTCACTGCTCTGTGCTCCTTCTCCTATTGACCCCTCCCCCAATCCGTGTGTGACTGTGAACAGTTATCAACCTCTCTCAGCCTCCGCCGCACCGCGGTACAATAGATGAGCCCATCCTAGCCCCTCTGGGTGAGGGTCCAGTGATACAACAGGATCTTCCCGCTCCCTTCACTCCATCCCGGATGCCACTATCACTGTGGGCATCTGCTAGTGCCCCGACCCTGTTTTCCCAGGGAAACCCCTGGCCACCCACACCCACTTCCTGGGAGGCAGGTGCTGGAGCCCCACAGGCAGATGTGGCTGTGGTTCTTGTGGCCCCGCTGGGGCAGACAGACCTCCGAGGCTCCGGCCACCCTGCCTCCGGCGGCGGCAGCAGCAGCAGCAGCAGCAGCAGCCTCCACATCAGGCTGCAGGGTCCCTTCCCTCCTCTGATGAGCTGCCCGTCCTGGGCGGGGGATGGCCAAGGCCCTGACCTGGCCGGGAGTTGGGGGCCAGTCCCTGGTCCCTGGTCCCAGCCATGCTACCGAAGCCCCTTCTGGGCGGAGTCTTGGCTCCTGTGGGGCAGGACGTGTGCACCTTGACTGCTCGGATCCTCAGCTCCCTCTTGGGTCAAATGGAGAGGATGCCAGTCCCTGCTTTGCCAGCTTGTCTTGAGTCTGAAAAGAGTCAAGGCACACTGCGTGCTGGGCAGAGACTGGGCCCAGGATAACTGTTCTCTCAGCAGTACCCAGTGTGCAAATCGCTGCTGAGAACCTGCCTCATATTGACCCATTCGCTACCTCTCTTGGCTTTTGACACAACCCTACCTGTCTTGTTTGTGTTTTTGAGACAGAGTCTCACTATGTAGCCCAGGCTGGTCTCACACTCACAGTGAGCCTCCTGCCTCAGCCTCCTGAGTGCTGTGATGCATAACCCCATTTTAGAAAGGAGAAAGAGAGGCTCAGAGAACAGGATAGGCTTGCCCAGGGCTGGACAGCACAGCCTACTTCCAGAACTTGGTTGACATGTTGTTTCTCCCGTGACCAGCCGGTCACCAGGCAAGGGCTTCTACCTTAGCAACTGAGCGGGGACAGATGGGTCTGCAGAGAAGGAGGCTGGGGCGGGAGGACCTGCCCTCCCTGCCCTGGCGTGAGGGCTAGAGTCACTGCCAGCCGGGGAAGTCCCTGCCTCAGCCCTCATCTCTCCCTGCCGCCCCGCTCAGCACGCACTGCTGCCAAAGCGCCCAGAAGCGTGGGTGGTGGTGGTTTGTGCTTGAAAAGGTCCCTAGGTATTTTCAAGGAGACCTCACAATGTGATAGCGAGAGGGTGGATCAGATTGTCTTGAAGAGAGAGAAATCCAGTAGGAGCGGCCCAAGCTGGGAAACGGTCTAACCGTGGCACAAGAGGCTCAAAGCAGCCCCGCCTGCCCTGGGGCCCACCTTCTGCTGGACACTTCCTGCTGGACGGCAGGGCCGTGATCTATCAGACACCTCCTCCCAAACCTGTGCCACCTACCCTCCCACCCAATGGAATCACCGAGCCTCTTTCGTACCCCAGACGACTCATCAGTCACTTTGTTTTTTTTATTTTTATTTTATTTTAATTTTTTGTCTTTTTGAGACTGGGTCTCACTACGCAGTTCAGGCTGGCCTTGAGCTCACTTTGTAGCCCAGGCTGGCCTCGAACTTACAACGATCCTCCTGCCTCAGCCTCCTGAGTGCTGGGATTATTACGCCACCACGCCAGGTTCCAGGCTGGCTTTGAACTCACCATGTAGCAATCCTCCTGCCTCAGCCTCCTGGAGGACTGCAATTGCAGGTGTGGGTCACCATGCCCAGCTCAGACTGACTCTTTGGAGTGTTCAAGTCTGTCCCATTAAAGCCTAGGGGTTTTATAAGAGGGCTGTACAAGATTCTGCATCTACGTGCTGGCCATGGGCTGTTTCCCAGTGTCACAGACACACAGTGTTGGGACAGGACCTTCCCTGGAGAGAGCAGACAGGGCCTGGCCTCATAGTCAGGGTACTGAAGGACTTGGCCACCACCCTGCCCTCCCCCCCCCAGGAGCCTGCTTCCAATTACACCCACAGGCGGAAACTCCAGGAGCAGACACGAAGTAACACCTAAACCCCAGGGACTGCCTGCCTGGAACATCTGACCCAGCCTGGGACACCGCAGCTTCCTGCTCCAGCCCCTCCTTACCATGGCTCTCACAGGCCTTGGCTTCCTCTCTTCTGACCAAAGACCCAACTTCATGCCCCTAGATGCAAGCAGCAAGTGAGAGACCAGCAGCTCCCCCCAGATGGGGAAACTGAGGTAGAGACAGGGAATTCTCAGCCACATTCCGGCAGTTCCCAGGGGTCTCTAAGTGTCGTGTGTCTCTAAATGTCTGTCCAATCCACCCTGCAGGCTGGGCAGACCTTCAGAAACAGCAGGGAAAGACTCTAGAAACTGAGGCAAGGGGATCCTGGTGAATTTGAGGCCAGCCTGGGCTACATAGTGAGTTCAAGGCCTGCCTAGAACTACATAGTGAGACCCTGGCTCAAAAATCATGAAAAAGAGCTGGGTGTGGTGGCACACGCCTGTAATCCCAGCGCTCTGGAGGCTCGTTGCAAGTTCGAGACCAGCCTGGGCTACAAAGTGAGCTCAAGGCCAGTCTGAACTGTATAGCGAGACCCCTGTCTCAAAAAAGACAAAAGAAAAGAAAGTAAAAATAGAAAACACCAGCAAAGCTGTGAGGACCCCCTCCTCCCTAGCTGGTCAATGTACTTCCTTCAGTGGAAATTTCAAATCCTGTTTAAGAGAGACCTTGATCTAACACAAAATTGAAATATGTTGAGCAGGGAACGGGCAGAGGAGGACACAAGAGCTCTGGGTCAGTCCTGGGAGTGAGTGGCGCCCAGACCCCTGGAGGGGACACCAGACCTCCCAGAAGCAGGAAGCCTAGGAGGGGCCAATTTAACCCTTTAGGGCTCTGGATCCAGTTCAAATTCCAAGCTGGCCTTCCAAGGGCCCCTACCTGCCACCCCGGAAGTAGGACAGGCTCAGGAAAGAAGGAGGGGTCGCCACGGGTTGTGGGGAGCTGGCAATAATGAAAACATCCCTGGCAGAGCCCGCAGGAGTCTGGCTGGGCTCAGGAATGCAGAGTAAATTCACCCATCACTTGATTTTTATTTTTCCCAGCTGGCTGAAGGGATGACGGGTGGGAGGTGTTGGGAAGGGCTGCACTAGACCGCTGTAGGGTGGGATGTGCCTCCCCGCCCCACCAGCCCCAGCTTGCCCTGGGACAACTAAGTACACACACCCCCAACCTAGCAAGTGTTTGGCTGACTCACTACATAAACAGGGTGTTGGGTTTTCTTTGTCTTCGCTTTGTTTTGGATGGGAGCCCTCCCCCTCAGCGCTGCAGCTCTGAGGATGCCCCAGACCAGATGTCCCTCCTGGCCAGAGACAGTAAAGCAGGAGGTGACAAAGCCCACGACAGGTTAGCTGACTGGGGTTTTCTGTTCCCGCGCGTTCTCTACCTTAGCCGGATCAAGGGACCCTAGAAGGCCGGATATGGAAAGGGATTTGGGAGGACTTTGAGGTTTTTGATGAGGGAACTGAAGCATAGATAGTGATGGTGATCTGCTGGAGGTCACAGGGCAAAAGAACACCTTTGGCCCTTTACCTGCCCATCCATGGGCAGGACAGAAGCACTTTCCACCAGGAAAAGCCCAGAAAAGATCTCAAGAGAAGCTGATGTTGCCCCCGCCCTGCTCCCTGTTCTCCTCCGGCCTCCCCAACCCTTCTTTTATGGTACTAGGGACTGAATCCAAAGCCTTCACACTGATCTACAGCCGCTGCCCTTTTACAATGTATTTTGAGGGGCCAGGGATATAGCTCAGCGGCACAATGCCTGCCTGGCAAGCACAAGGTCCTGAGTTCAATTCCCAGTACCAAAAAAATAAAATTCATTTTGAGACAAGGTGTGGTTAAATCACTAAGTTGCCCAGGCTGGGTTCAAACTGGAAATCCTCCTGCCTCAGCCGTCTAAGTGCTAGGATGAGCATGTGATTAGAGTGCTGGGATCACAGGCATTTACCACAATGCTGACCCATCTTCACTGGGTCATTTCTAGAACCCCTTTCGGCACCCCTGCTCTGGGGACTCCAAGTGCTTGCTCCCTCTACATTCTGGATTGCACAGCCCCTTTTGGGGGAATCTCTGTGATAAGATTCCCTAATCATGGTTAACAATTACTGGGCACCTGGGGATTTAGCTCAGGGGCAAAGTGCCTGCCTGGCAAGTGCAAGGTCGTGAGTTCGGTTCCCGGTACCGGCAAAAAACAAACAAACAAAAAAAAATTACTGGGCACCTGCTAGGTGCCAGGTGTTGTGCCGGGAATTTTCCAGGCATCTCCTCACTGAACCTGCAGATCACTAGTTGCAGAAGGTGTGTGTGTGTGGGGGGGGGGACTATTTTTCTTTCCAGGTTTACAGGTGAAAAACTGGAGGCTCAGAAAGGTAAAGACACTGGTGGGTGGTGGGTGTGGGATTTGAACCCAGGTCTGCTTGACACCAGAGCAGATCCGCGGGGTCACAGCAACGAACACTGGAGACACCTGGTCCTCACCAATCCCTGGCAAGTGCATCGGGGCCAGGCCAGCAGCCCGCTCAGATGGGTGCTCCGGTGAGGGAGTGCCGGTCCCCGCGTGGCACAGCGCCTGTGGAAACCTGAGAGCCCCTCATCAACCCCCCACGGGAACTCCGAGCCTGTCCCAGGCTGTCCATGCGCAGAACTCCCGGGAATCACCTCTCGACCCGGGCCCAAGACCCCATCGCCAGAGCGCTTAGTTGCGCACCTTCTGCTCCCCCGGAGTCCCGGGCCCCGCGGCTCCGGTGCTCGCGCCAGGTCTGACCTCTCCTCGCCCGGGTCCTAGGCTCCACGCTCACCCGCACCCCAGCCACAGCGCCCCCTCGCGCCCGGCCGCGGGCACGCCTACCTCACTGTGGGCGCGCGCCGGGTCCGTGCGCAGCAGCGGCAGCAGCAGGAGC